CAGCAGGATAATCTTGATCCTTAAGGGTATCCAAAAGTTGCTCCTCGAGTCTTAATTTTTTCTTCTTCGATAGCACTACCCTGACAGTAAGATTCTCTGCTCCAGGAACCTATAGTAGCAGCAAATGGAAACTAAAGCTCAATATTTATGCAGCGACAAAAGAAAACTAAGTAGGGTAGCCATAAAAATAAGTTTATCAAGAAAATAATCTGAGCTATTATGAGGAGGGCCAAACATAGTTGAAAATTTCACGGGGGCGAACTACAAATTTCATCAGATTTCAATATAAATTAAGCGGAAAAAATTAGGTGGGGCAGATGGTGGCTCCACCCGGGAACAAGCGCACATTAGATGTAGTAGACATGTAACAAATGAAATAATCATATTTATAACTATATTAATAAAATTGTATATCATGTCATGGGCGTTTATTTCATTACCTCATCAAAAGATTTTGCTTCGAACTTTGCTCTCTCTTTTCTTTCTTGTTCAAGACGCCTAAGGAGTCTCTCCTCAATGTGGGTGCTAAGCATGGTTTGTGGCAGATCTTTTGCACTAAAAGTCAAGGACTCGTATTGTCCTTTTTCTTCTCTCAACAAGCATATTGGACATTTATACTTAGTTTTTTCACCTTGATCGTCTTGGAAAAGTCCACAGACTTGGTGCTGCCAGCAATCACATTCATCACATTGAACCCACTGCAAATGCACATACTTTTTAGAACCGAATCGTTCTTGCTAACATCGGCAAAATAAAAAATAATGAGTGCGTTTGAAATTGGTTTCAGATTATTTTTGAAAACGTTTCTGCACGTATTTTGAGACACGATAATGAAAATAGTTTGCAAACCGTGCTTGTTTAGTAAATGTTTTGACAACGAAAATAAAAACAAAAAAAGTAAGCATATATTTTTGTTAAGGAATTAGAAAACGGTTAAAAATTATTTTTCCTTTTCTATTTTCATTTTTTAGTACTTATTAACAATGTTATAATATATTAATTAATAATTATAACTAAACACGACTTTACTTTTTTATTATGCTCAAAATAATATCTTAAAAAACTAATCAAACGCAATTTCAGACTCGGTCTCAAGAATAATTCTCAAAATAATCTCATTTTTACTTTTGTACTGAAAAGAAAATCAATTTAAAAACACTATCAAACGGGCCAAATATGACTTCGCTTACCGATTCTTCGATCTCTGAATCGCTGTTCCTCCTCTGAAGCTTCTCTTTCGGAATGCGCATGTCACAAATGGAAATATGCCCACCTCGAGACCGCTTGTAACATGTCGTACAAAAGAAGTGTTGATAATCATATTCTTCTGGTGTACAGTAATAGTTAACTTTGCGCTTGATAGGAGCAGCACATGATGAACAATATATCACTTTTCGCGCGAGTAAAAAGAGACCCAACCCGCATAATTGACACTGCGCAATCTTATTTTCCTTCACGTTGTCCGACAAATCCTATTAAGAAGAGGAAAACTCTTGGTCATCATGTATGCTACAAACTACAAAGAAACTTTAGGCAATGAAGCAAAATCTACAACATTTGGAAAACAAATATATACTTACAAGCGTTCTGCTCTTTTAAAATGTATTCATACATGATAAAAAAAAAATAATAAACTTATATTCCATTAATGAAGGTATATAATACAATTCCCGATGTTCGACTTAGTTTTAGCTTTGAATAAGAAATTATTACCCTTATATTAACATGGAAAAAGGATTACAGAAGCTAAGAGGTTGAGAAATCCTCTTTGTAAGAAGAATAAAAAATGCTTAAAGTGAAATTAGAAAATGTCCGTGAAACATCATATCAGTTAATGACAGTTGACAGTAACATTGTGACAACATACTAACCTTATCAGCCGAGTACTGGCGAAGACTTGAGATATGTTCTTTGATTTGGTCTTTTGTGAGGAATTCAGCAAGGGAAGCCACTTTCATCCTCTGACTTCCGGGCTTTGTTTCTGTGTCTTGATCACTTCCCATTTGCCCTTCGACGAATTTAGAATCGACATCGAGCTCTGTTGGCGATACAGAATTAGTACTCTTGAACTGCAAACTATCCGAAATTTCCTTCACATTGTCTCTAGTAGCATTGCTCTCACAGCTTGCCATGTCTATATGTGAAGGCGCAATGCTCGCAGCCTGATCATATGTGCCTAGACATGAATTTTTCTCCGTCTTCACGCGTTTCGGAGCTGGGAGCAGCTCTTCGAGCTCCTCGGAATTATTATCAGCCTCTAAAGAATCTCCAAACTTGGAAAACTTCTGTAAACCATTTGTAGTTTTCGGATCCAACCAAACTTTATCCTTGCGCACCCGTGCTTGGTGGGGTGCTGGAGTATGCTGTACCATACGGACGGGCAAAGAACGCTCAAATGCTCTTCTCTTCCTGAGGTTCATTTTCAAAGTAGATGATTTTAGTAAAAGTGTCATAAAGATTACTAAGAGAAGCAACTAGAAATAGTGTGTTTTTTTGTGAAGAATTCAGAGTGGTGATGAATTGCGTTGAGCTACTATTGCAGCAATCTTTTTTTTTTTTTTTTTTTTTCAACTCTACCTTTCTTTTTGATGATTTTATCTATTTGTACATTTATGCATTGCAATTCCATATCGAAATAGGTGCTATTCATGAAGAACCAGGCAAGGTTTCAAACTAAAACTACAATAACGAATTACAAAAAGTTTAAAATTTGTCCAAAAAGTTTGAGTTTGTAAAGTATGCTACTTGAATTTTCGTTTATGTAGGATTTTTTTTTTTTTTTGAGGAAGTTTATCTAGGATTTTAAGTTTTAAATAAAGTGAAAATTTGAGATAATAATCCGTTTAAAAAAATTTGGGATATAATTGAATAATAAATCTTTTTGTTACTGAATTATCCCTAATGAAATTATTTTTTTAGGACAAGTATTTTAAATTATTGTTTCACACTAACTCTAATAATTAGAAAAAAATACACCCTTTTATCGGAAAAACTAACAAATTTTGATTTAATCATAAAAAGAATGACTTCACTAAAAGAATAAATAAAACTATATATATTTAAATATATATGAATGGGTTTTATGTTTGATGAGTAATCACTGATAAAATGTTATCATTAAAAACTCGTTTATATATATTATTATATTTAATTCGTCCCACGGACAAAGCAAAACTACTGAAAAAAATATACATGCACACACATATATATATGTATACATATGAAAAATTTTAACGGAGCTCCTACTGCCAATATGTGCACCGTTAACACCTTAAAGACCAAGATAATTAACGATACGGCGATTAATAGAAGCTGAATATAATTAAAATAATACTTTAGTGCTAGAAAAAAAAAAAAAAAAACTCAAAATACTTACAGAAGCTTTTGCTAAATAATGAGAAAAATCAAAACTATTGTGAAGGCAAGGCCTATTTAAAGGCCATCAATAGTAATGAAACTCGAAATCCGAATTCAAGTGAGAAACAGAATTTGAAATGTACTAAAACTTGATTTGCAGACCATCATTAATACTCCCAATGTCACTAGGAATCCTAATTCAAGTATAAGATTAATTTTCTAGCCAAAAAGAAAGTAAAAGATTAAATAAATATAGGGTCAGAGCTAGATAAAAAGAACAATTAAGTAAAAATAAGAACTAAATAACAGGGTCAACTAAGTCAACCAACAGTTGTTAGCTTGGGTATTTAACATAAATGAAAAATTAAAAACAATTATCTTTGGGAATGTTACCAGACCTGGATAATGGGACATGGGATTTTCCTTGAACATAATCCTACTAGTTCAAAGTCTCACTATTTTATTTTAAAATTGATCTCACAACCCCTTACACTTTAGTATCATTCCCATTTTACTCTTTGAATATTAAGAATTCCCACTTTCTCCCCTCTCTCAATGTTCAATTAATCCTAGTTATTAGAATTTATGTTTAATATATGTTGCATAAAAGGGTAGTGATCAGGTGTGTAATCACGTGGTCTTTACGTTAAAATTTATTTAAAGATAAATTGAAAAAAAAAAAACACATGATCATGCTTAACCTCGTTTGTTGGGCCTAATTTTATGGGGGGAAAAAAAATCAATGATTAGAATGGGAGCTTTTAAAAGTCATGTGGGAAGTGTTCAAAAAAAAAAAAAAAAAAGTCATGTGGGAAAACATAAATGATCTCATAGCTCAAGGAGCATCACGGAGATATTTAACCATTTATTTTAATATAAAAAATTCTCATCATTACATTCTTTATTGATATAGAGTAGATATTTTTACGAAGGTTGTTAAATTATTCACCTTTTTTTTTTCTTTTACGTTTTTTTTTCCTTAAGTACTTAATTTATTAAAAGACTTGATCAGCTATTCTTTGAATCAATTTTAAAAGTTAATCGTTTCAACTTGGGTTTGCCCATTTGTGAATAACTCAAAAGGTGATAAATTGAGTTGAGCCAATTAATATTCAACAAGTTTTAAGAACCGCGTATATCTGCATAGGATTCAATCACACACACACAAACAAAAACACACACATACATATATATGTATATATATATATAAATGAGCACAACAAATCCTGTCGTTTTCGCGTCAGCTTATAATAATAATTTTCAAGTTGTTTTTGTGTAAACTGCATAAATCTTTAAACACTAAAGATATATTATTATTTTGAATAATCAACAACAAGATGTCGTTAATTTCTTATTAACCACAGAAATTTCGTTCAACTTAAAAAAAAAAACCAACATAAGCACACGGATCAATAGGAGAGTAGAGACTCCCAACATATGGAAAGAAAGCCATCTACTTAAAGAACTCCATAACCCAAAAGTTACAAATAAAATATTCAAATTTAATGCCCCTAAATCCTGCATCAGTTGCCAAGGCCAGGAATTGTTGCGTGCTCCTTTCCTTTCCTCCTGGATTTTGAGTCATCATTAACACATCAAGTTGGGAGGTGCTTTTCACAGCGGTATTAGTTTCTGCCTCGACTGGAAGGACTGATTCCACAACTATGACCTTTCCATTTTCTGGAGTGGCTTTGTAACAGTTTTTCAATAGCTTTAAGCAGTGTTCATCACTCCAATCATGCAGAATCCACTAGGAAAACATCCATTTTAGTTAGGGATATTAATGGTGGGTTTTGATCGGTTTCGAAAAGTAAAATTAGTTTTGATTGGTTTAGTCGATTTGATATTTTAGCAAAAAAAAAAAAAAAAATAATGATAATAATAATTGCTTAAATTGAACAATAAGATAAACATATTAATGATTTGATTCGGTTTAAGTTAAATTGGACGGTTTCTACAATCTGGTTAATGCACGGGCATTTCGAAAAATAAAAGGACATATATAATAAATGCTTCCAAGGTGCAAAATTTTCTAACTCTACCTTCATAAAAATTGCATCCCCGGTAGGAACCTTTTCAAACATATCTCCACCCACGTGTTCAACACCTAAACCAATATTATTCATAAACATCTCTTTTGGTCAAAAAATTCAAAGTTATAAATCATAATTAAAATGTGTTATAATTAAGAATTAAGATAATATAAATCAAAATCGTACCTGGATAAGAAGGCGCGTGTTCTATAACATGTGGCAAGTCAAAGTTAATACCCTTAATATGTGGGTATTTGGAAGTGATTAGGTTAAGGGTCACTCCTAGACCGCCACCAACATCTACCAATTTTGCAAGGTCCTTAAAACCTTTGTAAAATTTGAGGATGTTCTTAATAACAATAGTAGTTTGATTGTACATTGCTTTGTTGAAAACATGATTAAATCTTGGGTCCAAGCCTGGATACTCGAAGGCGTGTGTTCCATAGACTCTGTTAAATGCAATTCCTCCCTTAAGAACTGCCTCTTTTAGTTGGGGCCTGTAATTAATTCAGGTTTAAGTTTAAGTACTCCGGAATTAAATATTTAAGCAGAATACAATAATACTTACTTGATGGTATTAATTGGTTACTGGAAAAAGGAGAGTAATCTTAAATAAGGAAATTATGAGACCCTAAAAAATAAATAAGAAAATGAGCAAGTGATACAAGCTTAGAACCAAAGCTTTCTTTACATTTGTATTAGAGAATAGTACTTGTACCCTTTTAATTAACAAAAGGAGAAAACCAAAAATACCACTCAAATAGTATTAACTTACATTTATGCCATCGAAGCGGCATAGTAAGAACGTGTCTTTTATTAAATCAGTAAAAAATAATAATCTTAAGTGGTAGGTCTTATCAATAAAATTTTCATTTATTTGAGATCTAAACAAACTTATATTTTAAAAGGAAAAAATATAAAGACAGCAAAAACACATGTTGATATGCAATTTTCTATTTAGAAAACCGTAATTAGTTAAAGCTTGTAATTTGGTGCGAAGAAAACGTGAAATGAGGAAAATACGGAAAGACGTGAGGGAATTAGTAAAATGATTTTGATCCTTTGTAGTTTGATAAATTAATTTTTATCTTTCTTAATATAGAGATTTGAGAAAGAATCCATATCTAATAAGAGAAAGGTCCTTTTTTTTTTTTTTCTCATTTTTCCTCACCAAGATTATAAATCCTTCTTTCTTTCCTCTTGCCAAATCCTTGTTTTCAGTTCTTTTTTCTTTTCCAAATATTAGCACAAAAATGAGTCTTCAATAATTAAAAAGTTCCTTCGTCTTGTCACTAAACAACATAACCCTAAGAAAGCCCATAGAAAGTTTTACACTATACAATATTTCCCTGCACAAAGAATAAGGTTAGTGTTGCTCAAAAAAAAAAAAAAAAAAAAGAAAAGAAAAGAATAACGTTAGTGGAATATCGTTTCACTCTTGTCTCCAAAAGTTAAACAAGATAAGTTGAAAAAAGAAAAAGTAAACAAAAAATCAAAAAACAAAACAAAACAAACAAACCAGCTATCCAAGAAGATCTTGTCTTGTATCAACGCCATCAAGGGTCCCAAAGAAACACCATCTTCATTAGTCGCAAAATACTTGGCCACAGGACCAAGACTGTACAACCTTTGAAAATCCGACTCACTGTTAACATCACCAACCACCGAACATCTCAATATGGAGTGGCTTGCCAGCACCCTAAGTATGCGGTCAAGCATGATGGGTGCCTCAGGGTTGTCGGTGGTCATCTGCGCCGTAATCTCCGCCGGCGAAAGCTTAGCGCCTTCACCGGCTTTCGCTATGATGTCGAAAACTCCGAGCTCAATTGCAGTTTGCAAAGACATGGACAGCACGGTGGAAAACACAAGCTGCATGGCATAGGAGAAGTTTTCTTTGTCTTCTTCTTCTTTATTTCTGCCCTCACTGTCAAGGAATTTTCGATCGTTTCCCAGCTCCAATGGGGATGCCATTATTGGATATTTGCAAGGGAAAAGTATTAGAGTTTGATTTTGTGTTTTGGGATGCTTAGGCTATATGAAGAGTTGGTTGATTTATAGCCATTTGAATTATTATTATTATTATTATTATTATTGGAATTATAGCCATTTGAATTATTAGGTACATTACATATGTCCAAATGAAGTAAAAATATTTTAATTCTTCTTTAGTAGCACAACGTTATGGGCCTGACGTGTTATCCACTTTCAGTGCGTAATCTATATATCTATATATACATATAAGAGCGGCTTTATTCACATACCCTTTTTTTACTTTTTACATTCCTTTTTAAAGATACACCTCGCATAATTTTAAATGGTGAATTTACTTGTTTCACATTTCTATTATTCTAAAATTATCCCAAACTATTTTTATAAAATTATTAATTAATTCTTGATTATTTGATTTTTTTTCTCACCCACTATTTTATTTTAATATTATCATTTTTATATTTCTTTATTTTTTTAGTTGAAGCTTTAGGCATGACGCCTTTTTTGTACAGGAAGAAAATTTATTTAAATATTTTTTTAGAAAACATAAAGAACACTCAAAAATATAAAATAAAAAGCAATATAATTCAAGAAATAAAAAATATTGTAACAAAGTTATTATACTATTGAGGTATGATTAAAAATAAAAAATGAAAAAAAATAATGAAAAACAAATAAATGAGCATAATAAGCACAAAAAATAACAAAATGGAAGAAAAAAAAATCAATTCTACCTTATAAGAAACGAAAAAAGAAAATAAAACAAAATGATTTGCCCTTTCAAAAATGAAATAATTAGAAAGTAAAAAACATTAACACAAAACAAAGGAAAGAAGAGGCAAAAGAACAATCACCATAGAACAAATAGCAAAGAAAATTTAACACGCCTCTATGTAATTTTTTGGAATATCTATTGCATGGTAAAAATTAAAGTTTTATCATAGATTTCAAAATAGCAATTGTTTGTAATTTAAAAATATGACATGTGGAGTGTGTAAAGGGCAAAAAATAAAATATCATTATTTTTTATAATAAAATTTAATTATGTAATTAAGCCTATTATAATCGTCTTTTTTTTATCATTTTACATGAGAGTCTTTTCTAATAAAAAAATATAATTAAAAGAAAATTGCATAGAGTAAAAAAAGATGTGTAAATAAAATCAATCTACATATATCTTTCCACATATATCATCAACATATATACAGAAAAAGCCTATATTAATCTTTATATGCATGTACAGATATTATAATCTATCTTTCCATATACGTCATCAACATATATGTATACATATACATACATACATACATACATATATATATATATATATATATATATATATAGAAAAACCTATATTATATAAGATAGATTCTCATCACACCCCTTTTTTACTCTCCACGTCTTCTTCTAATTACATACTCCACAAAATTTTTAAATGATTAAATTTTGTTTCCTTTTTTTACTCTCCACATCTTCTTCTAATTACACACTCTACAAAATTTTTAAATGATTAAATTTTGTTTTTACACACCCTTATTATTACAAAATTACCCCTAAATATTTTTATAAAATTATTAAAAATGGTTTTATTTACACCTCTTTTCTTACCACGCCCCTTATATACTACACACCCTATATATAAATCAATTTATTACTTTATTATTATCTTTTATTTATTATCCTTGGTTTTGTAATAGCATGGAAATGCATCTAGATAAATCTTAGACGTATCGGATCCTGGTTGGTGTGTTTGGAAAATCCTCTCGAATCAATAAGAAAACTAAAAAGCATGCACGTGCATAATTTAAATGAATTATTTAACCACTTTACCTTCTCCTTCTTTCGTTTTTTTAGTGATGCTTGAATATTACTTTTTACAAATGCAACTCCACGTGAAAAACAGACCAAAAAACCCAAAGTAAAAAAACAATCTTCATGCAACAAATAGCAAAGAAAATTTAACATACCTTTATGCAATTTTTTTAGAATAGTGATAGAAAGGTAAAATTAGGGTTTTACTATGGATTTTAGAAATAGAAATAATTTATAATTTGGCAATATAATATGTAGAGTGTGTGAAGAGAAAAAAGACCATCTATCATTGGTTTCTTTTTTATAATAAAATTTAATTATATAATAAGTTTATTGTTTGTTTTTGTGATTTTATTTAAGGGCGTTTTTGTAATAAGAAATTATTAATTTAAAAGGAGCGTAGAGAGTAAAAAAGAGTGTGTGTATAGAACCACTATATATATATATATATATTGATTATCAAATTCTTTTCATATATATCGTCATGAATATATCAATTCATAATAAATTAAGAGAGATTTTTTAGTACGTCTGGTGTACCGGTAGACTAAATTTTTTTAACTATTAGATTTATATATTTTTTAATTTTTATACGATTTTATACAAATACGATAAATAAAAAACCTGACATATTGATATGTTGACGGAACAAAATCTCATAAATTAACTAATGCTTTCAGATAAAAAAATATTAAAAAGAAACTCATAATAAACAAAGCTCTCAGCAGTGCTTAATAAGCAGTCCTTTGTGCTGAATATATATACAATATGTAATAATCAATCTTTCCATCTATCTTGTCAACATATCAACTCATGACTAAACTAGGGCCCTAAGAATATTTCTACGAAAGAGCATTGTCACGTATTTCTAAAGATTATGTGTCGGGACAAAGAAAATTGTTAATTTCACGTGAAATATTACTCTCTTTCTCGTACCTTTTTTTATGCCATGTGGCTTCACAGTCTAAAATAAATAAAAAAACAAAAAATAGAGAAATCAGAATAAGTTTTTCACGGAAAAACAAAACTAGAGATAATTAATCAGAAATGTGGTTTTACACGTATATAACGTTGCTGTTGATATGTTTTAAAGAAAAAAAAAAGGATTCTTTTTAGGGACTTTTGACTTTTGTAGAACAAAGACTACTTAAAGAAAGAAAGAAAGAAAGAAAGAAAGAAAGAAAGAGGGAATGTAGCCTTTTTTTTTTGGGTCGAATTCTTCACGTTATTTATTTATTTATTTGGTCAAATCATCTACAAATATATATTTTTAAAGAAATAAGGAATGTAGCCTTTTTTTTTTTTGGGTCGAATTCTTCACGTTTATTTATTTATTTTTTTGGTCAAATCATCTACATATATTTTTTTAAAGTAAATCCTCTACATATTTGGAAAGCATGTTACTTATTATTCTTTATGAATGATTTTTTGTTACGATATTTTTGTGGAAGAAAATTTATTTATACTTGAAAAAAACATTTGAAGACAAATAACAAAAAACAAGAAAAAAATTTTCTAATTCAAATATTATATAGCATTTTGTTTTCTAATGACATTATTTCATTGTTTCACTAAGGAATATAATATTTGGACTTTGCAAAGAAAATAAATTCCAGTGATACACACGTAAAAAATAAAAAACGAAAAAAAATCTTCAAAAGCAGAGTAAAGTTGGCAAAATGAATGATGGCATATTTGTAATAAATTGCAAAAGAATGGTCTGCAATTAAGGTTTTATTTTCTTGGGAAGAAAGATGACACGGCAAGGAAAGAACAAAGAGTGAGAAAGAGTGAGATTTCAAGTGACTATTATTTTTCCGGGTGAAAATCAGATTTAAAAATAATAAAAAAGCAATTTTTTTTTCATAAGATCTCTACTATATATTGGTTTCAAAATAGTATATCTATATTTTGTTATTGTACTAAAAAATATTATCATTTATTCAAGCAAAATATATATATATATATTATCATCTAAGGAATATATTTTGTGGCGGTGGTTGAATAATTTAGAAGGCTTGCTATGATAAACAACCCATAATTTTTTGGATTATGTGCTACATATTTGGACTTGACGAATGTGTTCTTTGACATTCTAACAAAAAGAAAAATAAAATTTAAAAATGATCTTCTACAATGTTCCTATAATAATGTCATAATAAAATATATTATCATCAGTGATTTTCATAGTTAATTTAATATTTATTAATTAATGGGTGTTATATTTTAGTCGTAAAGTTGTAATAAATTAGATAATTGATTAAAAACATATATAATAATTAATGAAATTAAATTCATATCAGGACTCTTTATTAATTTTTTATATTTAATGAATAACCACCGATAAAAATATAATTATTTAAGACTCTTCCTAATATATATATATATAATTTATAAATTTTTATATTTCATTTAAAAATTTAACATATATATATATGAACTATTTATTCCAATATTAACTTTTTAAAATCATTATATATCTTTCTATTCCTCTCAAAACCGTTCAAGATTTTATAGCCTATCCCATTGGTAGGGCTCGGCCCAATTTATTATTAATTTATTGATCATCTCAATTAAAATTGCAGAACCCTAAATTAGAGCTATTTTATTGAACTACATTTATTTTAATTTTTAATTTTATAATGCTTTCTGATTCATAAGAATATTGCAAAATATGCTTGAAATAGGATTAAATTTAGAATCTCAAAGAATAGGTCCAGTATGTGAGTTCGTAAAATTTAATTTGCAAAATTCGATGATGAATAAGTTTTTTTGGTTGACGATTGAGGAAAGATATATGTGATTTATGTGAGGCTTTAATGTCTATGGCTGCACGCTTTTATTTTGGGATAATCATGTATGACTCGGTTATTATTTTGAGTGTTTAAGTGTCTTTATAATTTGATAAATTCTAGAGAAGCATGCTAGGAATTATGTTATTTTCTTATATTGTTGTTTCCTTTTTATGTTATAAATTGTGATTTCATAGAAACATGAGTTAGTAAAAAGTTTTTGGATTCGAGTTGCAAGACATGTGAATTTTGATGGTCATATTGATGTTTCTAATTCGCTTTGCCATGAGAATTTTTATAGAATGTGTGATTTGAATGTTTTAGGAACATGTCTTAGGGCTGGTTAAAGTATGCATATGGCTGGAATTGATTTTCTCT